ACCATCTCTCATGTCATATGTAATCCTTATGTTATACAAGCTATAATATTTATCCTAACTCTAAAATCAGTAAACAATAAATAACCTTTTAGCAATTAAAAGGCAAATTCCTTTCTTGATTTAACTTATAGAGAAAAGGGATGAAATATAACATTTTTCAACTGAAAGTAGTAATTAACTTTCTTAAAGCAAATCCAACCTGGTACTAAAGAAGACGTGATTCTATTGTACTTCAAATATATGCCACAGTGCAAATAAATATGTTAGTCAAAACCAAGATTTCTAGTTTTACTTTGTTGACACTCAGCTTCTTTGTACAGTCCAATCATGAAACTAAATAGTTACTCTGTTATACAGATTGAGAGGAGAATCTCTGACTTGATGAATAAACCACTTTGTCAAGCTGGAGATGTGTAACTATTGTATCATCAAGCACAAAGTGTATCACTTAAGTAAGAAAAATTAAGTCTAACTAAATGTATCATGATTAAAAACCTGTCTACAGTTTTGGTTTCACAAACTGTAGACAGACCAGCCATTACAGGAAGTTGTATTAATGCTGACAACATTAAATTGTCCATAGAAACTGGGAAGCTGTGGGGTGTTTCTCCCTGTCACACACTCTGCCTTGTCCAGTGCTGCTGTGTGGCCAATGTTCCTTATACTTAATAAATATATGTAAATTAAAAAAAATTAGTTAGAACTCCTAACCATTTTGTTAGTTTTGATCTGGATCTCCAAATCTATCACATCACAGGCCATCCCTTGACACTCATCTCTTTAGTCAACTAAGTTAGCAAATTCCTTAGCTACTACTGCATGAACAGTTATTCTAAAAACAGGGTATTTCATTAGGGCACGTGACAAGTTGTACTGAATATATGGCCAAAACAGAGTTACAGACATTTACTCCAGAACTGAAAGAGACCACGTCTTATGATATATTGTCCTCAATGTGCTGGTTTATTAATAACTAAGTAAGTACCTTGAAGGGCTCACCTTATAGCCTAGCACTAAAGGGAGCTGGATCCCTTTTACCAACTGCAGTTTGAATCCCAGAGCCTATGGCCTGAAAATATACTGAGCACATGTATGCCTTAAATTTCTCCATGGAGAAATGGAGAAGGTACCTTGGCATGACCACACCTCATGAGGGAGGTCAGCTGGTCTCTCTCGCTGGTGAGCACACACTCACTCTGGCAACTTGGAGAAGGAAGGAAGGAAGGAATTTTAGGTTCTTAACAAGAATGTGAACCTTAGATTTTTCTTTTCCACAGTAAGCTATCAGCTTATCCATAATGGAACTGACCAGTAAAGGAAATGCTTGCCTTTGGGAACTTAGGAAAGAAAACATTCATGTCTGCACTCAAGTTATTACTAAGAAACTGAGTGATCTGATTTAAAAACAAAAACAAACAAACAAACAAAAACAAAAACCTTATAATATCACTATCCTATCTCCTGTCCAAAGGGAGGAAAAAATCGATTAAATGGACATTCATCTTAATCAAAATTTAAGTCATGGAGGGCCTTAAAAAACTGTATATTTTTATTTCAACTTGCATTAATAAATTTAGTAATCAATCATTAGTTGAAATGAAAAGGCTAGTTTTTAATTACTTTATTTGTTAACTCCTCCTATTTTCCCTGATATTTATTTTTCTATGCAAAATTTAAAAACATATTGTTAAACTTAACAAAAAAAACCCTTACAATTATATAACAACAAGGACTTACCATTTCCTGGAAAATGAACAAACAGCATATAGAAATAATTTGTATTTCCCAGAAAGAAATTAATGTAGAATGTTTCTCTATTTTTTTTCCTAGAAGATCCTTATAATTCAGAATAAGTATCAGGCTCTACTACAGCAGGAGAAAAAAAGGCATACAAGGCATATCTAGGAGCTTTGTAAGGAGAGCCAGACATGAACGCAAGTAACTCTTAATGCCCCATGGACCCCGAGGAGTGACGAGTGTTAGAAGCAAGTAAAGGGCTCAAGGAGAGCTGTTCCAGCCAGGAGGACTGGGGGAAGCTTCACACAAGGAGAAAGGATCCTAAGGCACTGCTGGGGGTGGGAGTAAGGGTGGGGGCTGGGGAAGCAAAGTCATCTGAAACACCCAAGGCTATTTGCTAAAAATACAAGTCACTGGGTCCCATCCTGGATTTCTGAATCAGATCCTCAGGCGATGGGGTCTTGGAATGCACTCCCCCCTCAAGGTTTTTGCCATAGGGCACATATGCTCACAGGGGAGAGAGAGAGAGACGGCGAGAGGGAAAGTGAGACATCACCTCCCAGGGTGGGATGGTCACACCACAATCCCTTCTCCGTCACTCTCCTCTCAGGATTTTGGCCACTGACACACATGCGCCTGACGTAATTTTCAAGCCACCAGGTCCAGGATTCAAACTGCAGTGGGCCATGTTCAGCACCTTAACCACCATGCCACCTGCTGGCTCCTTCTCTTGTCTTTAACAAGCATTCCAGCTGAATGTGATGTAAGGGGGCCCATGGACCACATTTACTCACATTAAAATTTGATTATGACTGCTCTACATGAAGGGGCAGACCTCATGAACAGAGATGGTTAAGAAAAATCCTGGCAGAGGCACTACATGAAGGGAGTCACGGAAGCAGAAAATCGCAGGATGGGGGAACTAAGACGTTACAGAGAGTGCTCAGTGGCCTGATGAATCAGACTGTGGGAGTCACAGGTAAGCTGGAGTTGACTCACATACAGAAGATGAACTCTGTACTAGAGGGAATGGAGAATGATCAAAGGTTTTTGAGCTACGTTTGAACAGGATTACTTAGCGTCCAAACAACAGTTGCGCACTAGGACAGTAACATAGAGGAGGACAGGAGGGAAGGAATGCAAGAGACTTCACAAAGGTAGAAAAGACAGGACCTGCAGATTTTAGATGCAGAGAAATCAATGCTGACTTCAAGGCAAACTTAAATAAGACAAGTGCCTTTTCAGTGCCCAGCATTATGCCAAGCACCATGGAGCATCCGAAAGTATAAAAAAGTCCACTCAGTATAATAACTGAGCACCTAGTACATGTGCCAGATACGATTAACAAGGCCAAAGTTAGACTTGGTAAGAAAAAAAAATCCCTGTCTTCTAGGAGTTTAAAATTAGATCTTATCCTGTTCCTCTTTTGTGTCTCCTTTTTCTCATGAAAAAAAGTATTTCTGGAACTTGTCTCCCCACGCCTTTGTGGATTTCTTTTCTTTTAAACCATTAGCTGGCTCAAGTCAGGAACATACAAGTCGTGAGCATGAGTGCTTGGACCCGTTTGCTCTTAGTGATAAAGAAATGCTCAGGTATGCTTTCTCAACAATGAAGACACAACAGTCTTGACAAGAGACTGGAAGATATCCAAATTTTAAAAAGCAATCAATCAATCAAGGAAGGCCAACTTCAGTTAAATGGACTTAGGGTAAACATGGAACCTTCCCACAAAGAACTTTCAGGCACGCAGTAGTTTGTTGATTAATCCAATCAATACCTAACACACGCTTATCTGTAATAATACAAAGAAGCACAAATAAGTATGTGTTTCTTCCCAGATCCAAGAAGATGAGTAAGAGCCTGAATAAATTAAGTAGAAAGTGTGGTTTGTTGGGGAGAGTATGCGACACTTAAAATGAGAAGGAAACGGAAGGGATATGTAGACCTGTACAAGCAAGTCTACTGAAAATAAGAACAAACACTGACCAAGGGACAGAACTACCAGAAGTCTGGGAGAGTTGGATAGAGGTCACTTGTCAAGGTGAATTCCTCATTTTCAACATATAATGTCACTAGCTCCTCCATTTTAACAATAAAGTGAGACCGTCCCTCTCATTCGGAAAAGGACAGATTATTCAAGATGACCAGACACACTTGAAAGAAGAGAACTATTCAAGTTAGTATTTAATCAAGTGCTAGTTGCATGATACCTGTAAGAACCATTCATTCAGGAAAAGTAAAGGTTAAGGTGTCAACTGAACTCTTTTCTAGAACTTTCAGTAGCCAAGATGACTGCTAAGTACAAACGAACAGCAAAGACCGCTGGTTGTATGTCCCTGTCTAGCCGCACCCATCAACGCAGATCTTCTCCTGTCGATGACATCACTGAACAGCTTCCTAAGCAGTTTTACTTCTAACTCTCACTCTATTTTAACCATACTAGAAACACTCAGAGCTGACCTACCTCCACACTGCAGTCTAGATTACCATCCTTACGGCATCGTTCCTGGCTTTGGCAAATAAAACCCAGAATACGATCAAAGCATTAATGCTTACTTACAAAACGCTTGATTAAAAATGCGTTTCAATGATTATTTTTGTACCTCTAACCTGACTCAGATCCTTTCTTTCCCATCCTTTCCTCAGTGAGTGTACAAACTACAGAGTATTTTATAGGCAGTACTGTTTAAAACAAAGGGGAAAAACAAATATAAAATAAATTCTGGTGCTTCCCATATGAAACATGAATACAAAAAAAAGGTTATTTTGTTCTTTAAGAAGGAACATTTTATAAAATGGGCTTTAAAAAGCACATTTATTGTAACCATTATGAAGGATTTTAATCTCGCCTAAATTAGCCTGTATCATAAAATGACTACCATTAAAGACCAAATAGCACATCTGAACAACTAGGTTCTTATTCTCTAAAAGGTCAGTATTTTAAGAAGGATGAACATTTTTTATATAATTGGGAGAAAACTGTTTTCAAAAGAGAACAAAATTAGAAGAAAATGCCTAAGAAAATCAGTATGACTTTACTTTCAAAAAGGAAAATGACCAATTAAATAGTTTCACAACTCCATGGATTTTACCTTATTTTTTTATCTTGCTTAGTAAAAAGCTCCTCTATAATAGCAATCCAAATTCTGAGGCTACAATTTTGGATATGTCATATTATGAAAATCAGTGAAAAAAGTGTGCTAACATGTCACTAAATGTCATTAAAATAGAACCCAACATTTAAAAAGGTGCAGATCTCTTACCAGTTGAAATTCTCGGCGTCGGTCATAGGCATTCTGTATGCCACTGTCTGCCCATAATGCTCTTATAGCAGGGAGGTACTGCAAAAAAACCCGAGTTTCCACCATTCCCTGGGCTGCCATGGGGGACCGAGTGTCAAACGCCATCATCTTGTCTCCATTGAGTTGATTTGAGTTGTCTCCCCAAGGAATATGAAGCTTCTCTCTGGCATCCACCAGCACCCTCATACCTTTTATTTAAAAAGAAAAAGGAAAGTGTGGGGAGGAATCACTAGTTAGTATCTAAGTTTTTATTCCCATGTTAATTTCCTTAAGCTTCTTAACCTCTCAAGGTCCTCCTGGCAAATAGAGCCCAACATCTAAATCACCCCCCCACACACCCGGCCTTCTCTGAAGTTTTTAAAAAACAACAAATAATTGTTCACAGCCTTAAAAAATAGGGCCTGGCAAAGTAAACACTATAATATTAACATAATTGCTCTTTCTGGAGGATTTTTAACATGTTCCAACTTAAGAAACAACTTCTGAGGTAGAAACTGGTCAAAACAGAACCAAGCTAGAGAAAGAAGAAGCGAGGCTGCACAGCCTGACATCTGGGCTCTGAAGAAAACGGTTGCAAGCAGGATTTTATGTGCTTATCTAAAACGCACTTATTTATGAAACACTAAGAATCCAACATAGCTCTGAGTTCTGTTTGTTCCCTCAGCACCCTAACCCCAACACTGAGTCTTCCAAGAACACATTTGATACTCCAAAACTTTCCCGGGACTAAACTTCCAATCAGGGTAAGTGACAAGATGGCCTTAGATTCCCTAAAAGGGAGGAAGACGAACTGTGAAATGACAGAACAGATTTTGACTCACAGAGGTTAGTTCCAACTCATTATTTCTATCACTAAACTATTACCTTTGGTTCATCTTAACAGTCACATGGCAATTAGAAAGGCATTCCTACGGATAACTGAAAAACCGTTGCGCTGTTGATTTTGTGATCATGCCAACTTAAAAAAAAAAAAATCTGGCTGTCTAGTGACTTCATCTTCTAATCAATGCTCAGAGTAGGTCACCCTTCCGACTCCGTGTACACTGAGAACCAGCTGTGTACCTGGCTCCCAATCAGCTAACAGGTTGACTCTATTCATTAACATAATTCCTGAAGTTAAACTGAATACAAAGGTACCTTCAATTAAGCACTGGCACAGCAGAGCCTCAAGGAGACCTTAATGAGTTTTGTGCTTAACACTGAGGGGGGACAAATACAACTGTACTTCACAATCACTGCAGAGGTACTAAGGCCAAGAGCTGGCTGGGGAGGTCTGTAAACTCCTGACCTAGGGTCCTCTAACCATTACCCCATAATGCCTCCCTCTACCCAAACAAGAAAAAGTTGCTTAGGCACTTCCTGCACAAAAACCCCCCTTTAAAAAGCACCAATTAAAAAGATGTGCAATCTGCAGCAACCTCTTGGATAAACGGCACCCCCATAAGGAGAATCCTGATGCACCTGAAGTACCCCATGCCAGTGCCTTTTCTGTAGAAAATACCCAACACTAAGAAAAAGGGCTGCTCTCTTTCACTTATCAGCATAAAAACCACCTTCTCAATTTCTTTGACCCAGAAACAAACACCTTATGTATTTTTTTCCCTTAAGATCAAAGTTTGCTTTTAAAAATATTGCCAAACAGGAGCAGAATCTGTCTCTAACCCAACATTAGTTTGCTGAGTCTACCTGTACAAGATTCGCACCCCTTTTAGGCCAAAGAATCTTATTATTAGACTTTAATTTAAATAAAAGCAAGCAGTGTACTCCCTTCCCTCCCGCCTCTAGTTATTTAGCAAAAAGAGAGTGGACCGTGTTGAACAGTGATTACAGGCAAACATCCTGCCTGGCCGTGACAGTGGGGCGAAAAACCACCGGTGCTTTTTTTTTTTTTTTTAAATGCTAATTGTATGGGTCTACTCTTTCCACGGCAAACGTGACACTCTCAAGTTTCATATCCTGGCCCAAAAAGGTCCCAGGTGCTATGCCCTTGACCATACTCCCAGGCCGAAAGTTTCCTCATTGCGACAGTTCCAGAACTGCCTGGGGCAGGAGCCGCCAAGGGAGCCGGCAGCTGGGAGTGCACCCGACCCCATGTGACTCGGGTCACCCACCCCAGGCGGCAGAGAGCGGAGTAGGGGACGCGGGGTAGGGCCTGGGGCCGCTCTCAGGTCTCCCTGCAGACGCCGCAGGGAAGGCGACAGAGACGGCACCCCGCACCCGGAGGCACCCGGCTGGCCTCACTTCCCTCTCGCAGGGGGCGAGGCCGGCGGCGAGGTGGGGGTGGCGGGGCCGGGCGGGGCGGAGGGCCGGGGCGCGCCCCTTCCCGCCCTCCCGCCCGCCGGGCCGGTCCTCCGCCAGGGACCGAGGACGAGGGCGGTGCCCGGCCCCGAGACCGCCGCGGCCCCCGGCCCTCGCGCCCAGCCCCGACCCCGCAGGGCACCTTTGATCACGTTGCTGTAGATGGTGGGGCGGAACTCCTCGCGCGCGCGCTGGTCGAAGTCCTGCCCGTGGATGATCCGCATCTGCTTCAGGAAGGTGGACTTGCCGCTCTCGCCCGCGCCCAGCAGCCTCCCCCAGCCGCTTCACGTCGGTCTTCTCCCGGGACAGGCATTTGTCGATCTCCTTGGACTTGCGCTGCTGCTCGGCCTCGCCGCTCGTCAGCACGCAGCCGGGGAAGCACACGGACAGCACGGAGCGCGACGGCAGGGAGTCCGCCCTCTTGGCGCCGGCCCCGC